GCCTAATTAAGTGATGATCGTATTAGGGCCTTCTGATTTATCTTCATTTATCGGAATATTCATATCTTTACAGATGTACTCAAAATCAAACATGAGGTTTGTGCAATCCTCTGTGCCAGCTTTCCGGCAAAAAAAATCATCTAAATGATGATATATTATTAAGTTCGATGAGTTTTCATATTGAGCAACAGCCCAGTGAAGGAATGTTGAAAAGTTTTCAAAATAGGCGGGGCTGACCGAACACCCTTGCGGAAGCATTTTTTTAATCCAATACTTGCTATCAAATTTGACACCTAATAAATCGAAATCGTCAGGGTGTACAGGGCAGAGATTGAAAGCCGATTTAATATCTCTTTTCCCCATATGTGTACCAGGGCCTAAACACTGTATTATTTTTTATAACATTGTCAAAAGGGAATATTGAACCATAGTTATTTTACGAGCGATAAAATGGTTGACACTAGTTCTATTATAAGGATACGACAAATGAGTTGTTAGGCGCATTTTACCTGTACTTTTCGGAACTAGCCAAATTTGATTGATACGTAAGTTTGCAAATGGTTAAATTGTAAAGGCACCCAAAAAGCGTCCTAATTGTATTTCCTTTTCAAGCTTATTTTTTGTTTTTGCTAAAATTTCCGGGTATCTAATCGCAGACTGCAGATTTTTTGCCGTAAATTCGCCTTAACCCTTCCCTGAATCCATGTAATATAAAATTTGCATTATAACCTTTGAGCTACATTTCTAGACGCAAAGTATCTATTGGGGTGTTGCCGAGGTCCCAAAGGTGCTCTAGGAGTTTCAAATTGTGGGAAGTGCTAAAATCTTGGATGTCTGAAATGATTTTGGCTGATCTATAAAATCTTGAGATTGGACAGAAAGCTTTAAAGCTTAATTTAAGAAGTTTTATCCAAATATAATAGTAGTAGATATCATTTAAGGCAGGTACACATTGACGCACATGTTGCACAACTTTTGATTGCTCAAATGGTAATGAGTAAATAGGATACTAAATATATTACAAAACGTAAAAAGAGCGTTATATTTAATGCGCGAAATGTATCTTTTATTTGATTTTAACATGTATAAATAGTAAAACTCAAAGTGCTGTGTGTTAAGAACAAAACCGTTTCTTTTGTAGTTATAATTATCCTATGTAACATTATTCTTTGGTTGTTGACGTCTTTCTAACTATATGCTGCGCTACTAATTTGCTCTTATTTGGTTTAAACATATTTATTCAACAAAACATTTTACATGTGAACAATATTTACAAAGTAATTTGGATTGGGCAGAAAGCTGTAAAGCTTATGAGTGTCCTCTCCTGCTCTTATGTCATACTGCATATTAATGAAACTGTGGTCATGGATATTGTTCATGATTATAAACTCGTGTTCGTCCAAGCATTTCGTCTGCTCTAGAATTAGAGACTATCACCTGGATAGGATACAAACATACCCTTGTGCACAAATTATGTCTTTTCATAGTGAGGAAATGTTTGGAGAACAACAGATGTTAATAAACATGTTTAATTTATCGGGCCGTTTTACACTTTATGCAGACCGTACGTGTATTGTGCAACAGTTACAAGTTGCTAGATGACAGTTTCTTGACATTAGACAGGCGAATTCTTTATAGAGAAAAACACAGTGACAATTAATTAGACAAATAGGATATATTGATTTTCTTGCACGTCAGACAGGATCATCTACCGTTTACACCGGTGCTAGAAATCCCTGTTTTACACACTTATGTAAGACAAGTCACGTGCTTTAAACGACGTCATTGCCGCACGCCTTATATGAATGAATTGCGTTCTTAGGATGACGTCATTTTACGGTTATGAATGAATTGTAAGTTCATACGCTACTATTAAAAAAAGAGTGCATAATGAGAATTTCAGTTTTCATAATTTCTGTTCTGAAAATAATTGATATGTTATATGCAAAAAAAAGAAACAAACACCGGCTGTCGGTAAATACGAAAATATCTAGCTCTCGGGTAACCGTTTAGCGCTAACTCGATTGAGTCTCGTTATCGCCGTAAACAGTAACCCTCGAGCTAGACATTCCGGTATGTACCGGCAGCCAGTGTAAGATTCTTATATTCTACTCCAAGGCCCAGATGACCTAAAACCCTTTAAAACAATTTACACCTGAATCAGAAACCCACAAAAATTACAGCATAACAAAAGCATAGCCTCAAAATATCTATAACTAACAAGTTTGTCATTAAACTAAAGAACAAATAGTACATGTAAGATATATGAGGCAAAACAACCCTTGTTCTTTTAAATTTAGTTATTGCAATGGCTTCTTTACATCAAGTGTAAATAAATCAAAATGCAATATCCGGATATTCACATTAATATTAATGTATTTTTCACCTGATCACTGTATAGAATATCAAATATCTCAAGACACAAACGCAAAAGTTTGTAAATCCAAACCATTGTATTCATACAATAACGAATACACGGATCAGTAGTTTTCTAAAGTATTAATTTCATATCGTCGAAGTTTGGAGAATAACCGAGAACATTTGTAATTTTACATGACTTTATTTCGAGATATGTACAATCTAAGTCAAAGATTACTACTAGCTTAACTCCATCAACCCCACTTGCCGACTGGACTGTTCAGGTTTTATATCATTTGACACCAATCAATTTCACAATAAACATACTTTAACATAAATTTACAAATCTATTGACAATTTTACTGTCAAAAACATGCCTTTTCCATTATTTTATGTATAAACTAGTCAACAATGATGTTAAACACACATTTACAACAGTTGTTATATCATTCTTAAAATTTGAAATCCGTCCCTAAAAGTTATGTCACACTTGTAACATAATCATAATAAGTAAAATAATAACTGATCCCTAGCGATTAAAAATAAAACAAAGCCTCAATTACAAAGAGAAATATCTAAATAGTAACACACAAGGGATCGCATTGTTTGTATTTTGGAAAATGCATTCTTCTGTTGGCAAGTATTTGCGTAATTTTTATTCCCGTCACTCCTAAAACAGGTAGTATGTTTGAATTGTCAGTACTGTGCATTTACAGTCCCAATGAGAATTTTGTAAAATATGTGGTAAAAGACATTGAGAACGATTCACATCTATTAGGAATACATTGTTATGACTTTTACTGAGATTTACATTGAATATGTCTCTCATGTAAAAGTCAGTTTTGTAACGACTGATTTTGTAACAGTAGTAACCTAATAAGATAAAGTAGAAACATTTAAAAAAGTTATCAATTAGTTTCAAAGTGTATTGTTTAGAAAAGGCCTCTAAATTTACTGTATAAACTTTTTAAAGTTTTCAGATTATCCATTAGTAATAATGGTTTACTTTTTAAAACATACAATATAAAATAATACTCATTTGGCATGATTTATGTTACAGTAGTGACAGAATATGTTACAGTTATCACTTAATATATAAACTATCTAAATGAAAATTTTTAATATTAATTTATTGATTTCTCAGAGATATGTGTAAGGTTGCTTCCCCTAGACTTAAACATTGTCACACGAATGACAAATATGTTACAGTACTCGCGTTTAGTATCAAAGACAATTGTCAGTAAGTGATTTTGCAAACTAAATGATACTTAAGGTAAGGCAGAAGAAGGTATTAAGGCAGTCAAAAAAAACATGGTCCATTTATTTTTAAGAGTAATGCCCTTGTAAAAGGTAATGTTGTCTCCTAAATAACAAAGACAGTGAATACAAGTGCGTGACCTAGCATATTAAGGTAGTTGATGACTTGAACGAAAAGAACAAAATTGATTTGAAAGACTTTGATAATCAGTGATGGCAATGAAGTAACCAGTCATAACATTCAGATGAATTTTACATCTTAAGACAATATAAAATTACATCAAATGCGGTAATTATAATTTTATAAATTACAATACTCTAAATATGAACGTTTTAAAAATCCAGGTGCATTTATAATCAAAAATTCATATTTGGTACTTTTTTAATATGAATTAATTGCTGTTTGAAAAGAATAGTACCAAACCTGTTGAATAATACATGTTCAGGATGTCTAGACACAGTATCTTCTTTCTAGCTGTTGAATATAAAAGTGTTACAGGTATGACTCGAGAGAAGTAGTTAGGTCATAGTCAATGCTCTTTTGACAAAGTAGAGACATATTAAGCTTTGAAAAATAAGTTTTCATCATTGGGAAATATCCCTTTTTACACCACAAAAATCCAACCCTCATAGAACATCTTCAAATCAAAAATATTCAAACTGAAAATTTTGCAAAAATATAGAATGACTCGTTAATCATAAAATATCCTTAAGTGATGATACTACAATGTCATAATACTATAATATGTGTTTATTCAAATCGTCTTTTTAATCATTATGCAACAAGTTTGGTGTTGACAATAATTCCTCACAATTAATGATTAAATGACATCCCAAATTGTAAATTTTACAGGAGCATATGTTCGCTTCTGTATATTATAGAAACCATATAATTTATATAAACCTTTTGTTTTAACACATATTTTTTTACCGTTATAACAGGTTTAGAACTATTTATTTGTAATTGTTGTCATTATGAAATAAATGTTTTTCATAATGGCAACAATTAAGTCTTTGATTTAGTTTATTTTAATATATTGAGAAAAAAGGCTACCTAAAGTTAATAAATTTATAGGATGTAGGAGGTATAAACGTAATCAGTACCTTATTTATATACATTGTACTTAATATTATAGTTAAAGAAACCGGAAGCACTACGTGTCTACCAGTTGACTTTTAGTATACAGTTTAGTACATCACTGGGCATTTTAAAATTGATTATAATTTTCAGACATATTTTTAGTTATTATTTTAACGAAATAGGCATATCAAATAGATACATTCGTTATATAATATCAATGGTTACACCCTTCGTTTTTTCTATATATATATAGATCTGTTGTCATTCGTATAAAGTCCGAGTTTATCATACATAATCGGTTGCATTATCATATACTTTAAAACGATGGTATTTTGCGCATGCACCACTTCATTTACTGTGCAGATTATACACATCTAAAAATGGGTATGCAGACACAGAGTTATTGAGAGGTATGTTATGTTTGTTTATAAAGTGTTTTTCCTCAATTTTCATCTTTGATCTATGTATTTATTTAACAAGGATCTTCAGGAATAGAAAAATGTAAAATCATAAAAGAATGAATTTGATTAACGCACTTGAATCGATATGCTAATGTCATACGGTGGTAAACATTCTGATTTACGTTATATTTACTTTAACACATTCATAATTTTATAATACAACATAGATATAAATAGAACACTAACATGACTAATAGTACAAGTATTTCGTAAACAGGTAAGCACTGGTTTAACAGCCAAATGTTTAAATTTAGCTATATATTATAGATATATATAATCATTAAACCGAAAATGATAATAAAACACATAACGTCCTGAAAGTAATGACTAGTTTCGGGATTCATTTAGTGATTAATCATTTGACTGTAATTGTACCGCCAAGCGACAAGCACAAAACAACAATTATAGATAAAATTGTGTTTTTCAACCAAGCAGGTTATTGTTGATGTAATCCTATTTCTTAACGTTTATACGAAAATAAAAAAGGATGGATTTACATTTGCATCTCTTTTCACTCACTAATAAACAAAACAAAGATTTACTTTTATAAGGTAATTAGTATCCTTGTATTGTGTTTGTGGTGGATTATTGTTGTAAGGCATCGAATATCCTAATAAAGCGCTACATCATGAAATTGGAAATCCACTTTGCTTATCAAAATAGCCAATAAAACATATAAAATGTGAACAAAATCGTGTTTATCGATTAAGCTGCTGATTGTTTTAATGGTTCCAGCTTCATAACTAAGAAAATGAGACTTGATATTATCATGAACGTTTTATGTAAGGCAGCTATAGTCTAGTAAGACTGTACTGATGTTCAGACTGACATATCTGTTTATTGGTGGGGGTACCATCTTCGGCAGGGAGAGTTTTGATATAGAACAAACTACGGTTTCAGCTGATTTTATCAACATTCTAAAGAATGAAATAAGGCATCGCATTAGAAAGTATTTGAAACTTTTTGTAGTTTAAATAACTAAGCAGACATGTTTTAACAGCAAAAACAGTATCTATATGTCATCAAAACTTTGAAAGAACTGACAGAGGCGCAATTTGTAGCACACTAAGTGTGAGATTTATATATCTGCCCATTTAAGGTGTGAATTGTGAATCGCTATAAAGCTCTTTAAAGTCATAAACATTGCAGCCTTTGGTATCATCTGACTTTACAAAGTCTCAGAGAAAAAGAAAAATGAATAAGAACTTTCTTAAAGCACAATGTCTATGGCTTAGAGTTTAGCTGTGTCGTATTTGGTTTTACCAAATTGCAAAAATCATTACTTTAAAGTTGCAATCTTTTACTCTATAATCGAAAGGCCTATACAATTGATCTATTGTGTCACTGATCAGAGTTAAGATCATCAAGAACCTGGGTTTAGAGTGGCATCAACCCTGAATTCGAAATATTTATATATACAGACAATTCTTAAACGATTCAAGATTAGAAATTATGGTGCCTAAAATGTAAATATGTGGTATGTAGCTCTAATCTCGGATCAACATGTGCCTAGTCCAAGGGCAATTGATTTTAGATCGTCTCATCTAGACATTGTTTGAGAAAATTTTATCTAAAAAATCCTTGAGGTCTAAAGCTGAGATATTTGGTATGTAAGACTGTCAAGTTATTTTCTATTAAATTGACTACAGTTCTTACTAAAAGGTCAATATTTATTCCATACCACAGGTGGGAATTGATGTAAATTAATGTCAGATAAGAAAGGTATGTAACTACAAGGACTCTAGAACTTGATGTGTAACATAATCTTGTAGACCTAGCCATTTAATTTTTAGCTGTACCTTTTTGCGAAGGAAAACATCAGATACCTGTATTGTAACAGTAATGGCGGCGTTACCGTTGCCATCCACAGCCTAAAACCTTGACCCTTAATTCGTAAGTTGTTGATGTATTTACTTCATACTTTGCGACATCATCCTTTGAGCCAAGACCTTCAAGTGAACCATACTTAACTTTATTTTTATTAAAATATGTACACTGTATATAAAACGAAAATTCTTTGTAGAAAATTGTAGTTTTTCAGATAAATGTTTTATTTACACTTAACCAGAAACAACACATTGGTTTAAGTCCCTTACATACCTAAGTTGGTAACATTTTGAGAATGTCAATTACAACAAATGATAAAATATCCTCTGTAAAATGATATAGATCAATTTCTCTTACTATTCATTATGTTAGCAGTTAAACATTTAAGTATAGTTTTATTCATTGTGTCCAAATAATTTTATTTTTCAATGTAGGTTTTTATAAGAAATCATGTAAAAGTGTGAATGTATTGATGTTATGTCATTAAAAAATAATATAACTTTATTAAGGAACAATAATGATCAATGGAAATGTGTGTGTCACTGGGGAAGACACATTTGTTTAGAGCATAAAACAGAAACTGCTGTTTTATGCTTAGTGGAGTGTCTCCCTTAGAAGTAAGAATTAAACAGTCTCTTGTAATTATGTTAAGAATGGCTTTTCAAGAATTGTTTGTGTGTATTTTTTGTTTTAGATGTGTACATGTAAAGATGCGACTTCAATAAATTAAAATAATAAAAAATAAAAAACCTTAACTTTTCCTTTCTTTAATTTTCTTTTTAAAGATTTGTTTAAGGTAGAACGCGACACTTTGCGAACTTTCGAGTAGCGTCTTGAAATTGACCATATTTCTGATTACGTTCCGTTGATTTTATTTTAATAGTTTCAGCCAATTTTTGTACACACGGCGTCAAAGTTGACCATCAAAGCCCGTTTTTTAACATGACGTCGTTGCGTATCCTTGGCAACTGTTATGGGTATTTCAACGCCATTGGCAAACAAAATATCTTAAATTCTACAGCATTCGACCGAAATTATTTTTTCCTTTAAGCTGATTTAAAATTTATTGTTTTACGCCGAAAAATGTTTGAAAAGTGGAAAGAAAATTGGCAATTTTGTGTAAAATTTGACGTTAAGTTTAGCCGCAATTTTTGGCTTTAAAGCGGCTTATTTAAAAATTCCTGAAATAAATATTTGATTTTTTTCTTTAAACGTCCTTTAAAATGTATACTCAGTCAAAATAACTAAAAATATTAGGGGGTCACTGACTCAAATTTTTCGGTACACGTGATTTTATTTTCCCCACCCCTTGAATAATTTTGTAACGAAATTCGACGTATGCATATGCAATTGAGACTTCAAAGTGCAGCAATAATGTTCAGCTTATCAGAAGAATTGTTCTAGAGATTTACTTATACATTTGAAAAAAACAACAACAATGTTCCATTGCAAATGCTTAAAATTTAAAATGAGACCTGACGATGAAAAGGCATATTTATATTTAAAATCTAAGCATTGAATTTAGGCGTTGATATTTTTTGCTTATTCATATAAACATGTGCTATTTTTTACGACCACGTCACAATTTCTGATTGATATATATACTCGATATTCTGAACAGAAGTAAAGACTGGAACCCAGGCTAGTAAAGTCTAAATACAGGTACATTTCAATATAACGTGTTACTTGAGCAAAAAGGAACTGACAGCAGTGAGATATGTAACAACAATTGTCTAACTATCATGGACTTGGTCGAAGTGCAATTTTATTGAATTTATTATCGTCTTTCCATTTTGTGACATTTATGTTTGCTGAAAAAAATGTACGAAAAACAAACAAAATTTCTTCTTGTTTTTAAGCATGGTTCATAACTTCATATGATTTTGTAAACAGACGAATGTACAGAAAATGACGTAAGGCATTCAACGTCAATGCGTACGCTTCGCAAACAAAAACAGCGGAGAGCTATCATTGCGGTGTAACTTTTTGATATTGTAATACATTAAAATTAATAAACTTGAATCGAGAAATATGCCATAAGAAACAATAAGCAACTATATATTTTATGTAAATTTAGAGAATTTACGGAAATTCGATCATAAATCAATACGTTGTCTACAAAAAATTCTGCAAAGTTATACATTTTGTATTACCCACACTATGAGTGATATACTGTGAGTAATATGTATTTTATTTCACCTATTAAAAACCAGAATTTGAATTTCATTTGTTAGCAAAAACTATTCAACAATTTGACAGAGTATATGTTAAATAACTGTGCGAAATATTGACAAATTAAAATAAATTCATAAATGAATTTTAGTCAATTATATTAGCGTGAAGCAACAGTCATGTTTGAAACGTTAGCTCAGTAGGTGTTGGATAACAGATGTAGCACGTTCGATTTGACAAGTAAATAAACATCTTTAATACATTTTTTCTCGTTTTGCTCATCATTTTAGAATATCATAATGTTAAAAAAAACGTTTAATTGAGGATTCACCATAAATGCTGTATTAAAAGCATCACTATCAAATCGGCCTTTTCAAATATTCATTATTCACTGTATAGCCAAATTTATGGCAGAATTTATTTTGAACAGGAAACTAAAAAACAGTATTTTAAACATGAAATATTATAAAACGCTGTAAATAAACATCTGCGGATGTTTAGCAGAACATGTATAGCGAACTAGGCGGTCCTGAGCTGGATACTGCACAAAGGAGTGTTGCGTTGTAAATCTTTATACAAAATAAAGATATTTCATTATATATTGTCATTTTTTTTATCAGTACATGCTACGGGCACTGTAGAGGATCTGTCGATGTTTTATATGTTCTGTTCACCTACCATTTAATCAGTATGCAATTGACATGTTAATGAAACAGGGAAATATGGCATTTTAGTCAAAGTTTTACTATCTAAAATGTTATTCTGCAGACTATTATTTCTTTCCTCTTGTAGAAAGTGGGTCATTCTGAAGTACATCCCTATTCTCTGTTTTATATACAAAATGTATATTTACAAGAATAAAAATTATCATATTTTGGTAAAATCTGACCTTCTAATTAAAAAAATACGTATTTTAGTAAATACAGACATCAAACAAAGTTCCCGTATAGTACGAGTGTACGGATCACGGTATTTCAGTCATATACGTATTGCATGATATACGGTCCCGTACATCTAAGTATTCAAATTTTATGTAACATAATGTCAGATAAGAAAAGTATGTACATACAAGGACTCTAGAACTTGATGTGTAACATAATCTTGTAGACCTAGCCATTTAGTTGTTAGCTGTACCTTTTTGCGAAGGAAAACATGAGAGACCTGTATTGTAACAGTAATGGCGGCGTTACCGTTGCCATCCGCAGCCTAAAACCTTGACCCTTAATTCTTAAGTTGTTGGTGTATTTACTTCATACTTTGCGACATCATCCTTTGAGCCAAGACCTTCAAGTGAACCATACTTAACTTTATTTTTATTACAATATGTACACTGTATATAAAACGAAAATTCTTTTTAGAAAATTGTAGTTTTTCAGATAAATGTTTTATTTACACTAAACCAGAAAAAAACACATTGGTTTAAGTCCCTTACATACCTAAGTTGTTAAAATTTTGAGAATGTCAAGTACAACAAATGATATAATATCCTCTGTAAAATGATATAGATCAATTTCTCTTACCGTTCATTATGTTAGCAGTTAAACATTTAAGTATAGTTTTATTCATTGTGTCCAAATTTATTTTTCAATGTAGGCTTTTATAAGAAATCATGTAAACGTGTGAATGTATTGATGTTATGTCATTAAAAAATAATATAACTTTATTAAGGAACAATAATGATCAAAGGAAATGTGTGTGTCACTGCTGTTTTATGATTAGTGGAGTGTCTCCCTTAGAAGTAAGAATAAAACAGTCTCTTGTAATTCTGTTAAGAATGGCTTCTCATGAATTGTTTGAGTGTATTTTCTGTTTTAGATGTGTACATGTAAAGATGCGACTTCAATAAATTGAAATAATAAAAAGAAAAAACCTTAATTTTTCCTTTCTTTAATTGTCCTTTTAAAGATTTGTTTAAGGTAGAACGCGACACTTTGCGAACTTACAAGTAGCGTCTTAAAATTGACCATATTTCTGATTACGTTCCGTTGATTTTATTTTAATAGTTTCAGCCAATTTTTGTACACACGGCGTCAAAGTTGACCATCAAAGCCCGTTTTTTAACATGACGTCGTTGCGTATCTTTGGCAACTGTTATGGGTATTTCAACGCCATTGGCGAACAAAATATCTTAAACTCTACAGCATTCGACCGAAAATATTTTTCCCTTTAAGCTGATATAAAATTTATTGTTTTACGCCGAAAAATGTTTGAAAAATGGAAAGAAAATTGTCGATTTTGTGTAAAATTTGACGTTAAGTTTAGCCGCAATTTTTGGCTTTAAAGCGGCTTATTTAAAAATTCCTGAAATAAATATTCGATTTTTTTCTTTAAACGTCCTTAAAATGTATACTCAGTCAAAATAACTAAAAATATTAGGGGGTCACTGACTCAAATTTTTCGGTACACGTGGTTTTATTTCCCCCACCCCTTGAATAATTTTGTAACGAATTCGACGTATGCAGATGTGATTGAGACTTCAAAGTGCAGCAATAATGTTTCGCTTATCAGAAGAATTGTTCTAGAGATTTACTTATACATTTGAAAAAAAACAACAACAATGTTCCATTGCAAATGCTTAAAATTTAAAATGAGACCTGACGATGAAAATGCATATTTATATTTAAAATCTTAGCATTGGATTTAGGCGTTGATATTTTTTGCCTATCTATATAAACATGTGCTATTTTTTACGACCACGTCACAATTTCTGATTGATATATATACTCGATATTCTGAACAGAAGCAAAGACTGGAACCGAGGCTAGTAAAGTCTAAATACAGGTACATTGCAATATAACGTGTTACTTGAGCAAAAAGGAACTGACAGCAGTGAGATGTGTAACTACAATTGTCTAACTATCATGGACTTGGTCGAAGTGCAATTTTATTGAATTTATTATCGTCTTTCCATTTTGTGACATTTATGTTTGCTGAAAGAAAAATGTTCGAAAAACAAACAAAATTTCTTCTTGTTTTTAAGCATGGTTTATAACAACTTCATATGGAATTGTAAACAGACGAATGTACAGAAAATGACGTCAGGCATTCAACGTCAATGCGTACGCTGCGCAAACAAAAACAGCGGAGAGTTATCATTGCCTTGTAACTTTTTGATATTGTAATACATTAAAATTAATAAACTTGAATCGAGAAACATGCCATAAGGAACAATAAGCAACTATATATATTATGTAAATGTAGACAATTTACGGAAATTCGATCATAAATTAATACGTAGTCTACAAAAAATTCTGCAAAGTTATACATTTTGTATTACCCACACTATGAGTGATATACTGTGAGTAATATGTATTTTATTTCACCTATTAAAAACCAGAATTTGAATTTCATTTGTTAGCAAAAACTATTACAACAATTTGACAGAGTATATGCTAAATAATTGTGCGAAATATTGACAAATTAAAATAAATTCATAACTCAATTTTAGTCAATTATATTAGCGTGAAGCAACAGTCATGTTTGAAACGTTAGCTCAGTGGGTGTTGGATAACAAATGTAGCACGTTCGATTTTACAAGTAAATAAACATCTTTAATACATTTTTTCTCGTTTTGCTCATAATTTTAGAATATCATAATGTTAAAAAAAACGTTTAACTGAGGATTCACCATAAATGCTGTATTAAAAAACATCACTATCAAATCGGCCTTTTCAAATATTCATTATTCACTGTATAGCCAAATTTATGGCAGAATTTATTTTGAACAGGAAAACTTAAAAACAGTATTGTAAACATGAAATATTATAAAACGCCGTAAATACACATCTGCGGATGTTTAGCAGAACATGTATAGCGAACCAGGCGGTCCTGAGCTGGATACTGCACAAAGGAGTGTTGCGTTGTAAATCTTTATACAAAATAAAGATATTTCATTATATATTGTCATTTTTTATCATACATGCTACGGGCACTGTAGAGGATCTGTCGATGTTTTATATGTTCTGTTCACCGACCATTTAATCAGTATGCAATTGACATGTAAATGAAACAGGAAAATATTACATTTTACTCAAAGTTTTACTATTTAAAATGTTATTCTGCAGACTATTATTTCTTTCCTCTTGTAGAAAGTGGGTCATTCTGAAGTACATCCATATTCTCTGTTTTATATACAAAATGTATATTTACAAGAATAAAAATAATCATATTTTGGTAAAATCTGACCTTCTAATTAAAAAAATACGTATTTTACTAAATCCGGACATCAAACTAAGTTCCCGTATAGTACGAGTGTACGGATCACGGTATTTCAGTCATATACGTATTGCATGATATACGGCCCCGTACATCTAAGTATTCAAATTTCACTTATTTTTACCTGTCTATCTATAATATTCGGAATTCCGTACCCTTTATTGCATCCATATGTTTTCCGCAGTGGTCATAATGGCGTAAATTTCCGTTTATAGCGGGATTTTGACACAGGGCGAATGTTTTAATGACATAAAAATAACAAACGCCCCGTGATAGCGTAACTTTTATCCAAAGGGGTGGGGGAAATAAAATCACGTGTACCGAAAAAATTGAGTCGGTGACCCCCTAATTTTTTTAGTTATTTAGACTGAGTATACATTTTAAATTACGTTTAAAGAAAAAAAATCAAAAATTTATTTCGGGAATTTTTAAATAAGCCGCTTTCAAGCCGCAAAGTGCGGCTAAACTTAACGTCAAATTTTACACAAAATTGACAATTTTCTTTCCATTTTTTCAAACATTTTTCGGCGTAAAACGATAAATTTTATATCAGCTTAAAGGAAAAAATAATTTCGGTCGAAATCTGTAGAATTTAAGATATTTTGTCCGCCAATGGCGTTGAAATACCCATAGCAGTTGCCAAGGATACGCAACAAATTCATGTTCGAAAACGGGCTTTGATGGTCAACTTTGACGCCGTGTGTACAAAAATTGGCTGAAACTTTTGAAATAAAATCAACGGAACGTAATCAGAAATATGGTCAACTTTTTGCATGCCAATTTTCAAGTCGCCAGTCGAAAGTTCGCAAAGTGTCGCGTTCTACCTTAAACAATTTGTTTGCTTTAAAAATAGCAAAAAAGTCAAGCGTTGCCCGCCGCCTGACAATCGCTCTTGTTAGATAAGTCAAAAGCTATGTAGCTTTAGGGTCAAGCAATTGATTGCAGGTGAGCAACTAAGGAACACCCTGGTTCATTTGTTAATAACATTGTAGACTTGATACGTTAACAAATAATTTGTTTTGTTTATTTCACAAAAATTTAGAAATGACAAAAAATATGATATCTAAAAGATATTGTGATGAACCAAATATAACTTTACTTTGTTTACCTTTCTAGAATGGCAACTTTAGACGAAGAGAGATATTTGAGAAATCTATTGCTGCTTCGCGAGGGTACTTCGTTTGTGTTAAAGAGCCTTGTAGTGCAAGAAGAACACAGGTCTGGACAAACCTTAGAGAATCTTCTTAATAACAAAACGTTATTCAAAGGCATATTGAAAGAACAACGAGACATTCTTTACCCAGTGCCTTCGACAGCAAATGCAGATTTAACTATATGGGATTTGTCGCTCCTTCTGCTTGTCGTGAAGAGATTATTCTATCCAGTACTACCACCAGTTACTGCCTCACATATAGGGGCATTAAAGGCCTTCAGAGATTCTATCCAAGGACATCCTCGTAAGATGTCAATGGACGATACAGAGTTTTTAACAAGCCAGACACATTTACAAGGACATTTGCGAAACATTGCAGGATACGCCAACCAATCTCGCCAAATTGAAGACATTATCAGACGAACTGCATCTGGCAATATTGACATTGAATCAGTATTTCGACATGTCAATGAAATTCACGCATTCAGTTATAGTTTAAGGGTTTTCATAGAAGAAAAACTTGAGCAAATCAAACCAAAACTTAATTCTTTAGAAAGTGATGTTAAAACTATCAAAGGTACGTATATTTGATTAAAAACGTTTATTAATAAAATTTCTCAAGCTTCAAACTTAATAATGTAAGGAATGATTTTGATAGAAATTGACATTTTATTTTATAAATAATTCGAAAATACTCTGCATACCTAGGAAAGTTAAAGCATAACACATTGGAACTTAAGAGACTTGTACATACATGTTTCCTTGAGAATTAGTTTTTATACTCGGCGACTTATGTTCTTTCTTGATCTAGAAAATATTAACTCAAACATTATGATTGGAAATCATAAAAAAATGTACCAGGAGCATGTAAAAATTTGGTTTTATCTGAACTACGAAGCAGGAGCTTTAACTTGTATGACCCACATTAAGATTATAAATTTAATATATATTCATCAAAAATTCTAAATGAACATTGTGACTAAAAAGTGTAATGACCTAACCTTTTAGAGCACTTATTTTTGTATTTTTTTTCACTTATTGTACAGTGTAATTGTGGTATCTCTAAGGTTTTCTATCTGACTAAATCGGGGTACTTAGTATCTTACACAATGTAAACCCAATCTGCTTAAACTCAAGCCTCAGGTAGAAAGTATAATAAATGACTTCGAAATTTAGCTTTTGGACAGTTTGTATAAAATAGCTGCCGGTTTCTTTTTGCCGCGCCAGTTTTTGGCAAATTCAACCCCTATTTTTACGCGGTTTAAAAAAATGAAAACTGTCTTAAATTGTCATATTTACTAAAAGGTTTAAAAGTTAATATGTTTTGTTTTTCTATCTTTAATACTTTTTTGTAAAAATGCATTTAAAGTTTGCATTTGCCATGGCAAAGTGTGTTTTGCCATGGCATTTCGGCATTTTGCCATGGCAAATAATTTGCCATGGCAAATTAGAATTGCCATGGCAAGGTTTTTCCTACTTTTGCCATGGCAAATTTGCCATGGCAATTATTTTTTTAAAACATCACAAAACTTTCTAAAACTTATCCTATGACATGTTATTGGTCGTATTGTTATGTTTTTATTGTAATCTCAACTTTTTTTCATTTTGCCATAGAAATGCCATGGCAAATTTCTGCCATGGCAAATTTTTGCCATAGCAATTCCATGGCAAAATTTTGCCATGGCATGTCCATGGCAAAAATTTGCCATGGCAATTGCATTAAAGTTTGCCATGGCAAAATATTATCAATAAAAAATTTTTTTTTTCTTTGAATTTTTTTTATAAATTTATACATGGCAAATGACATATTAAGGAATATAATGTTTAAAATTTTAAAGTTTACGCAAAGAATATCTTTTCAACCACGGGTCCTATTGATTAGAATAGATTGTATATGACATTTTAAAATGACAATAATTATGAGATCAAGGATCAAATATAATCATTTATGCTAAATAATAATAATAAAGCTTGAGTGGTAGTTATATAACAGTGAAAATAAGAATCCCTAGAAGAAAGCCCAACACTGCAAATTTGAAAATTGAGCCTGTTCATGGACGGTAACTGGTAGTCCAGTGGTAGGACGCGCGCTTAGGGATCGAGAGGTCCTGAGTTCGAACCCCACCAGGGGCACTGCTAATTTCCTTGAGCAAGAAATTTACCTGCGATTGCTTCACTTCACCCAGGTGTAAATGGGGTACCTGCGATGGTGGTATAATTCCGTTGCGCCAAAGTGTCGGCTGCACTAAGCGGAGTTAAAAGACTCCCTAGGGATATTGATAGATAGATATCAGTAGCCCGATGACCAGGGGCAATGCTAGTAGCTGTAAAGTCGGTGAACGTGCGTAAGCATGAAACTTAGACTATAAAATTGCAATTACTTTACTTTTACTGGTAAGTGCAATTACCGTCAACGTCCCCTAGCACCGGCTTAAGCAGTATATAAACATTTTAACATAAACTGGTAAATTTAGAATGTTGAAACATCCGAATATGTGTTCATATGGTGGTTATCATGGAACCTTTAACGTGACACGTTAGTACCATTCCATGAAAAGCGGCATATTACAATATGCTTATAATAAACATAAATAACAGACTCTACTTGTTAACTATATATAACTTTTAAACACCATAATTTTGTATAAATATGTGCAATTACATTTTTTGTTTCCGGTTTCTTCTAGTATCAATGCAGTCTGCGTGATAAAGGACTGCCTAAGGAAAGACAAGGAAATGATGGGAGATGCATTGGTACAAATGTTATGGAGGGCACCCTTATAACCTTGTTATTTGTAAAATATTCCGTTAACTGCAACAAGATCATCTCGAGCAAACAGGACGTTTCGCCCCTAACCAAATCGGCCCTTAACAACTGCTAGCCCCAAAAAATGCGCAAATTCTTGGTATAATGAGTAATGAGTGTATTAATTTGCTATCCAAAGGAATATAGTCAATCTTTGTAAAATATTTTAGTTTTGG